TTAACAAAATAAACTTACTTACATACGAAAGTAATCTTGATAAAATGGTTCGACCTCAACAGGTCAATAAGTCAAAATATTAATCATCGTATGAAGACGACTCGTCGGCTGATGAAGAGCTATCGAGATCACTATTATTTACATTGATAATTCTAAGTCTCACATTCTATCTTCTTCTTTTATAGTGTGTCTTATACAATTTTTCCAAGATTCAGGTGTGCGATATTTTGTATGGCAGTAGCTAACAAGCACTTCACCTCCTCCATTTTAAAACTCAAGTTTTCTCTTGCCACTTGGTTTTTTATTTGAGCCTATATAAGCTCGATAGGGTTCAGCTCACAATGATAAGGAGGGAGGCGATGTACAATTATGTTGTTTGCACGAGCCATTTCATTGACTGAATATTTCTTGAAAACGGGTATATGTATCCTCGCGAGGTTTAATAATTGTACTTTCAACATGTTGTCATCGAATGGTATATTTTTTTGAGAGAGCCAGTTGATTATTTCACCTTTTCGCCAGGCAGTCGTTGGTGATGGCTCCAACCGTCGACTGTGGTATGACGCATTGTCCATAACAACGATAGAATTTGCTTCAAGGTTTGGTAGAATATTTGAAAACCATCCTTCGAATCTTTGAGCGGCCATTTCCTCATGGTAATCGTTGGTTTTCTTGGATTCGAATAGTAAAAAGCCGTTCTTCAAAAAACCCGAATCGCTGCCTATATGTGTTATTATGAGCCTCCGTCCTTTACCCACTGATAATAATGAAAACTAAACCTAATGAAACCTCTTCAATGAAGGCTTGTCGACAACTTTTAATTTCCAAATCTTGCCACACCTTTGAGACAGTATGACCTTGATTTAGCCAAGTTTCATCTAAATATTATACTTTTCGTCCTTCACGACGATACTTTCAGATTTTTTGTAATTTAAGTAATTTCTCCGCCACAAAACAATTTCATCTTTTTCTAAAAGAACACTATTTCTGCTTCTTTTCATATATTTAATGTTCATTTCTTCTAATGTTCGCAATAAAACACGTCGTGATATTTTGGGTATTGAATTATCGGAATTTATTTCAACTTCAACTTTCTTTAAGGTTGGGATTTCGTTCCGAAAAAAAAGCACGGAATCCTCCAAATAGCATATTTGGTATGATCTTTAAGCTGTATGCGGTTTCTACCTCTGGTTTCAACAGATCCATCATCCAATTTGCCTTTACTTTGTTTAAAATTGTTTACAATTCTGTATACACTTTTAGGTTTTAGCGAGGTATAACTATTACCTTCTGGCTTAAAATTATTATTTATTATAATTAGAGGTAATGGATTTTGACAAGAGCTATGAGTCATGCCGATGCAGTACACAAGTTTACCTACTATTTACAAAGTCATAGCTCTTGTTAAAATCCATTACTCAAATTTATAAAACAATAATAGAAAGTATTGAGTTGTACGGCGATGTAGTATATCTTTTCTAAGTAAAAATATTAAGAGAATAAAAGTTTTGATTCTAAAAGTAATCGAGTGGGAGATAAAAAAATTGAACGTATTAAACGAGCACTGAAAGTCGTATGTGGCGTCTTTCATCATTTTTAGTGGCTAATTTAGATTTCTCATCACAAAAAACTCCAGCTTACCAAATTTCGTGTTGTTATACCATGCCTGTCACGAAATATTCAAAATTAAAAGTTTACCTTTGACACCCATTATTTTGGTTATTATCAACATTCGTACTAAAGTAAGTTAGTTTAAATCGGTCTATTTTAATCTCAGGAATCTAAGATTAAATTATGGCCATTCGTTGCCAAACACCATGTTATATTATATTATATATATATATATATATATATATATATATATATATATATATATATATATATATATATATATATATATATATATAATAACCCAAATGTCAATAATAATCATATTAAAATTAACATAAATATAAATAGGTACATATTTATTTAATACAAGTAGCTTTGTCGTAACTTCTTATGACATTTTTCGTACGCCATTGGAAGACCTACAATAGTATAAAGTTATTTAAAAATACGAATTTAGTAAATAAAAGTAAAAAATAAACACAACGATTAACAAACAACGTTCACTAATTGCACTTGCAACAAACTGAAAGCCAATTTGGCTAAAACAAGTAGCAACTCTACCACTAAATTTTAATAATTTAGTGGGAAAGCAAAACCATACGCCTATGGCTTCTTACACGTCTAGCGTGATTCTATTTAGTCCCAGTGCATCTGTATTCTGAATATGTATACTGTAGGTATTTTTGTAAATAATAAGTAGCCTTGTTTGCAATACTTTATATCATCGTTTAGATCAAGATTAAAAAAATTACTTAAGTAAGGTCTTCTTCTACTTCTTGGAGATCTTTCGATCTGTTTAATTCTGAAGCTTCCTCTGGTTAATCTCCTGGGAGGTAGATTGCGAACTATCCCTCCATCTTTTAGGTGGTCTTGAACCAGGCTTGTTGTTTTCTAGGGCAATTTTTGGGAGTCTATTCTCATCCATTCGTCTTACATGATTGTACCACAGCCTCTTACGCTGTCTTCCCCATCTTACAATATCTTGAATTTTGCACTGCTCTCTAACGTTTGTATTTCTCACCCTGTCTCTTCTTGTTTTGCCCATTATTGTTCTTAGTGTTTTCATTTCGGCAACTCTTAGCAACTGTTTCGTTTTGTTGATATCTTCGCGCACTTTTATGCCATATGTCATGAATATGATTGGTCGTATGTAAGTCTTGTAGATTCTAATTTTACTATCTGTGCGCATACGCGGATTTGACCAGACTATCTCCCGCAGATATCCTGACAATGCGGATGCTTTGTTGATCTGGGTCCTTAGGTTCTTTACTGGGTCGTGTGTGCTTGATATATCTATCCCAGATATCTGAATTACATCACCTGTTCTCAACCACTAACTTAAGGCGCCCACTCACTCAGAAGGAAGCGCGAAGGATTGAATGTGCAACCATGCCTCTCAAAATCAGGATGGTCTTGATTTTTAGCGTGTGCAACTATCATCGCGCGGGGAAGAATGAGAGTGTATGGACAACAAGTCTATGCATGTTTCATTTTCAACCAGTGCTGCACGTGTACGACTGTTCGTTGGATGTTGCAGTGATATAAGGTGCATGCCAAGAGAGTTTATTACGGAATTCATAGAGCTATACAGAAGTTATCCCTGTTTATGGCAGATTAAAAATAAAGCATACAGTGATCGATTAGGAAAGAATATAGCTTGCAAATTAAGAAGACCTACCAACACAAGGATTTTTGCAGAAAAGTTGTATAATGATATACTTTACAATGCAGAATTAGGAAGGCTTAATGAAAATTCTATTCTTTCGGTAAATATGCCAATTGTGTCTGCATTACCTCAATGTGAAAGTCAATAACAAGTCAATATTCAGATATCGAGTTCAATGGGTCAACAATCCAATTCCGTTGCTACATATTATAAGAATTTTTTTCTGATTTCTGCAATTTGTAAAAGATATTTTTTTTGAAATATTAATATTTTTAGTATGATCTGTACCGATTCTAGTTTCAGTTTTTGTGTTTTCAATTCTTTGTCTTTATTGAAAATCTCAATAAAAAGGAATTTTATATAGGTAATATTATTTTTTCTAATGAAAAAAAAAGTACATTGCAAATCAATGTACCTTCATTACTTCCTTTTGTAATACACGACATATTGCTTCACATTCCGGAATAATTCGACCTAATGCCTGATCTGAAATTATTTTTGAAAATTTTAAGTCATCATAGCTCCTTCCCGTTGCCAAAAATCTTAATGTAGCAGTTAGCCTTTTATGTGCCGTTATAGCCTGCCGCATTCGCGTGTCCTGTTTTTGTATCAAAAGAGTTACTAAAGATAATAGTTCAAAATACGTATCTTGATCCATTCTCAAGTAATTATGCCAATCTGATGAATACAGTCGCAATTCGTCCAGTAAACTGACATGAGAGTACGTAGCTTGTTTCTGTAACCAAGAGTTTGTCCATTGCTACCTTGGTTTTCTTTTATACGACACCTTTCTTTAATACAAACACACGCCACTGCCATTAATAAAAGATCGTTTTTTGACGTCATGTTCACTTTAACCGTACTTCTAAACTGAAAGCAAAAGTACTGGTGTATGCCGGCGTGGAGCGTACGGTTTACCTTACAGCAAACATGCAAAGACTTAATTGCGCATTCTTCCTTCTTGGTGAGTGGGCGCCTTTAGTTAACGGCTTATTTGAAAGAACTGTCTTTGAAGATCATATTCTGATTCGGCAATAATTGCTGCATCACCTGCGTAACACACCATACCAATTCTTTTGTTGCCCATTCTGTATCGGAGATTTTACTTTGTTTATAATTTTGCCTGTGAGTAGGTTAAATAAGAAAGGGCTTAAACTGTCGCCTTGTCTAATTCCTCCCGGTGTTGGAATATTTTCAGTGAATTGGTCTCCTGTTCTAACTTTGGTTACATTGTTGTTATTTAGGTTATGGACTATCTTTTTTATGTTGGTCGGTATTTTATTTTCTATTAATATATTTAGAATGTCTCCAAGGCGAACCCTGTCAAACGCCTTCGTCAGACCAATTGAAGCAAATATACACTGGCATTCCGAACTCTATAGCTTTTTCTTTTATTTGTTTTATTATGAATACTGCATCTGTTATAGACCGCCCTCTTGTAACACCTTGTTGTTCTTCAGCATTAGTGATTTGCTTTTCCAATTTGTCCTTAAGAATACTCGTGAAAATTTTCATCCTTGTATTAAGAGGGTTATTCCGCTGTAGTTTTGTGGGCAAGCTTTTTGCCCTTTTTTAAATATGGGGATTGTGATGCTCTTATGCCATTCCTCTGGTGTTTCTGTGTCGTTTAAGATTTTGTTAAATAGTTGTGACAGTTTACTTGCCAGTTACTTAAGTAAGGTAACGAGAAAAACTAATTTCTATTCAATTAAAACCACAGAAGTCATCTTTTTGTTAATCAGTATATAATTTATAAATAAATATACATATTTCATATGGTGGTGACAGATCCTTCTAACCGCTTAATATACAATTATCTAACTATAATAATTCATTTACGAAAATATAACCAACAAGAAATTGACAATGTCAGAATAAAAACAAATATATAATGAACTAATAGATTTAGGTAGGAATGCCTAACGTCCTTCGAACAATTTTTTCTGCTATTTTATTAAATTCTTCTCTATTTTCTCTCCACATTTTGGCGGCGTCTACATTTGCACCACTTTCATCGTTCGGTTCTGAAAAACACAAGACAAGTTAAAAATGTTTAATGTTTTTTAACATTATAACATAAAGCCAAAAATATCGATACATAATTAAATATACGAGTATATCAGATGTATTTTGTATGGATACAATTGGATAATATACAGAGTGGCCCAAAAGTCTGGAAACGGCCAATTATCTCGTAAATTGCTAGTTATAATTGTACAAAATTTAAGGTACACCTATTTTGGGATACGGAGATTCCATATTTGATATTTGCAATGTTGCCAGATTTGCCGTTTCTCTGATATTATTAGTAACTTTGGTTTTTCAAATGCATCACCCTGTATATTCAGTCATTATTAGAATCTTCTATTCAATACGAGTTCAACTATATGTAACACTTATGATTTTTTATAGTCTGGAAGGTCTTAAATACATAAAACAGAAGTCTGCCAACGCCTAATTGTTTCAATAAATTTTTTGATACTAATTATTTTCAACTACATTAAAACGTAACAATTGATAGATTATAGACCATTTTTTAACAATACTTACGTTATTAAGTGTTCAAAATGTGCTCAATTTGTGAGTTGACAGTACCCTAATCGATGGTAGAATGCGTCTACCACATTTCTCCATGATTGTCTAGAAATTATTTGAGATTAATCGATAATTCGTTGCCTTTGCTCTGCAAGACTTGGCTGGTTAAGTTTGTAAACTGAATTTTTCAAGTATCCCTAATAAAAATAATCTTTAGGATTGAAATCGGGTGAACGTGGAGGCCATTCAATTCTACCTTGTCTACCAATAATCCGTACGATAAGTACGGAAAATATCTCATCTAAATAACGCCGAACATTTACACCAACTATCTGACGTTAAATTTCCTTCGATAAAAAATGACCCAATTGACTAAGTACCTACTATACCTGATCATACATTTAATTTTTGTGGTCTGGTATGGTTTTCACGCATTCAGTGTGAATTTCATACGAGTTCAACTATTCAATACGAGTTCAAAATATGTAACACTTATGATTGTATGTAGTCTGGAAGGTCTTAAATACATAAAACAGTGCAAAATATGTAGATTTTAATAAATTTAAATATTTAAATGTAGAATGCTGTGATATTGACATTTGTTCACGATTTACATTATAAACGAAAACTGACAGTAGTTGTGTTTCGAAAAGTTCTGCAATTTAAATTGCTTCTCTAAAATGCCGTTCTCTAAACCGTTCTCCTATTCATAAGGCGACGGTACAAAAAACTGTAAAGCGATTTGAGAAATCTGAAGAAGGTAAAGATAGAGGAAAGAGAAAAGTTTTGTTGAAGATCCACATACATCCTCAGGCAGGGTTGCACAAGTACATGATGTAGGTCGTTCTTCAGTCTTACGTATATTACGTAAAAATAAGTTTAAACCATACAGAATAAACTTATTGCAAGAATTAAGTGAAGATGACTTCGATCTTAGATTAGAGTTTACTGAGGTAATGATGGATAAAGAAATTATTAAAATTTCGTTAACAGAATATGTTTTCCGATGAAGCAATCTTTACACTGTGTGGAAGTGTAAATCGACACAATTTAAGGTACTGGAGTGACGCAAATTCACACTGAATGCGTGAAAACCATACTCAAAGACCACAAAAATTAAATGTATCGTCAGGTATAGTAGGTACTCAGTCAATTGGGCCATTTTTTATCGAAAGAAATTTAACGTCAGATAGTTGGTGTAAATGTTCGGCGTTATTTAGAGGAGATATTTCCCGGACGATAAATTGGTAGACAAGGTAGAATTGAATGGCCTTCACGTTCACCCGATTTCAATCATAAAGATTATTTTTATTAGGATACTTGAAAAATTCAGTTTACAAAACTTAACCAGCAAGTCTTGCAGCGCTAAGGCAACGAATTATCAATGAATCTCGAATTGTTTCTAGACCATCATGGAGAAATGTGAAAGACGCATTCTACCATCGATTAGGGTACTGTCAACTCATAAATTGAGCACATTTTGAACACTTAATAACGTAACTATTGTTAAAAAATGTTCTAATCTATCAATTGTTACGTTTTCATGTAGTTGAAAATAATTAGTATTAAAAAATTTATTGAAACAATTAGGCGTTGCCAGACTTGTGTTTTATGTATTTAAGACCTTTCAGACTACATAAAATCATAAGTGTTACATATGGTTGAACTCGTATTGAATAGGAGATTCCAATAATGACTAAATATACAGGGTGATGCATTTAAAAAACCAAAGTTACTAATAATATAAGAGAAACGGAAAATCTGGTAACATTACAAATATCAAATATGGAATCTCCGTATTCCAAAATAGGTGTACCTCAAATTTTGTACAATTATAACTAGCAATTTACGAGATAATTGGCCGTTTCCAGACTTTTGGGCCACTCTGTATATCGGATTTTTTTGTAGGGGTTTCAATGGTAATCATTAAACAAATAAGTGTTACAGCTTAAATCAACAGCATAAGCAAACAAATAAATGTAGGCTACACATGCAATAATAATATTTAAGAAAATTAGCGTTCTTTACACGAGGCAATAAAATCCATTGTTTAATAGATTATATTAACAATACATTATATTAAACATGTCGTAAAATATAAACATAACAGTACTAAATATAATGACAATAGTCGTTGAATTGATCATCTACCGCCTAACGGCGCAAATCCTTAATTGTTATGTCAGAGTCTGATTCAAATTTTAAGACAAATTAATGTTGGTTGGTGAAAAAGGAAGTGAGTGGGATAGACGTTTCAGCATTATTATTTTGTCTCTGATTTAGGCCGTCCGCACATGGGTCGACGCTCGATGTGGTCGGCTCGATTTCAATCGCGTAGGTCTCTCCCCACCGCCAAAGTTCCTTCGCTGTTGCATTGAGCTCCGCAGATGGGGAGATTAGTGGTCGTTTAGAATTGCAAATCTCCTCGTCTTGTACGACTTTCGTCACATACGATTGGTAGCGCACGAGAAAGTTCGAGTTAGACGCAATTCGGAAAACATTGAATTTCTGTTTCTAGGTGTTTAATATAAAATTCGTTGGGGAAGTGTAAAAATACCTTCAATTGTACAATTATACAATGAAAGAATATGCCAATATGGATATATAAAAAATGCGTTCTTCCTGGTTGGCAGATGTGAGCAAACAGCAAACCCGCAGGGTTCGTAAAGACGGACACGACGAATGAACTTTCACGCGTGGCTTCTTTCGACCAATGTACGGACGGTCTTAGTGTTCCTAGACTAGGAGCCAGTGTGGTCAATTTGCGGTCGCCCCTTTGTTTTGTCTTTGATGACCATAGTTTATAAATGAACCGACTGTATTTCCATAAAACAATTAGTCGTAGTAGCTCCAGTAACCAATAGTGACTGCCAATATATGTCTCTGACGGACTTTCCATTGTGTAATATTTATTTCTTCTTCAAAAGTCTCTTCGTCTATGAAGATGACTTAGTTCTTCCCTTTGTATGTTTATTCAACTACCTAAATTTTAATTGCTTACAACTGGGTCTATGCACTATTTTAGCAACGAGGGTGATGGGGACTTTTAGGTAACCAGCAACAGCTGTTTCTACTCATTTGCTAGTTAAAAGTTAGGTGATTTTTCTAGTCTCAAGTTATACATTTCAGGAACAGTTTCAGGAAGCGAAATCTTTCAATGGTTTGCTTTGTTCTGGATCCATCACATATGATGGATATGGGATGGTGGTTGGTATTATTACTAACCATAGATTGGAAGTGCCCATCCTATTTCACTGAGCTTGCTGCATTGTTTACAGCATCTGATAACAGGACACTCTTTATTCCATCGCAGAGTTCATCTAGGATGCAATGAGGTCTGTTATCCATGCTAATAATGGATGCTGATGGATACATCTTTCCCTATGTTCAACATATAGTTCAAAGTAGTGTATTTTAATCTACTACCATTAGATTCCTTCTGGCGGAATGGAATGCATTACACTCCCCTCAATTTTCTGCGGGATAGCTGTAATTTTCAGCATAGTGTATTTATTCCAACTCGTTCTCATGACGTAACCCATAATTGTTATGTATTTGTCCTCACTCCTGACTTCGGGGTCTATTATGGGTTGCTATGTCAATAAAATGTCCTTGGTTGTAATGTAAGTTCAGTATTCCCTCGTAAATTTGGATCTATTCTTGTATGAATTTCATCACTTGTTGAGATATAGTTTGGAACCTAAGTTTATCAATTTCTTTTATCAATCAAGAATTTTACCAATTCTTTCTGATTTTTATCTAGTACTTCTATAGCTGTGTATGACTTATTCTATTCCATTTTTATTTATATTCTATTTAATTTCCATTGTTATTAAAAATGCATTAAAATAAAAGTAACACAATTATCTTACCTGCTAACATACTAACAACTGAAAGTAATATCTTTTCTACACTTTGAACTGGCGACCACCTTTCAGCACTAGATTCATATCCCATTGGATCATCACCTGGTGCATGTAAAATTGATATACAAACTCTACCATCCGAGTATACTGAAAAAATAATAAAAACATATTTCAGGTATATTTGTAAGTTAAAAGAAATATTCCAAAATAATTGTGTTTAATAATGGAGCAACAAGAACATATAAATAAGTCTAATAAGTACAGCATGTAAAATTAATGCAAATACTGAAAAATATCGGAACAGATGAGAACAAAATTAAAGCATTGGAAATGTGGGTTCATAGACAAATACTGAAGATACCTTGGACAGCAAGGAAAACTAATAAAGAAGTACTATGGAGCATCAACAAAGATAGAGAACTGCTAAGACTGTTAAACATCGAAAAATGTCTTATCTGGGACATATAGTAAGGGGAAGTCAGTATAAAATATTACAACTGATCCTTAAAGGCAAAATAGAGGGCCGTAGAGGTGTAAGAAAAAAACAATTTTCTTGGTTAAAAAACATTCTTGAATGGACACAGATACCAAATGCAGAACCATTATTCCATATTGCAGAATATCGAGAAGCCTTCACAATGGTGATCTCCAACGTCGGATAATTCTGATATGGTACGAGAAGAAGAAGAATATGAATATTGTGTGTCTATTGTAGACCTATTTTGTCAAAAGCTTTGTTGTTCTTCACTAATTGTGCATTTTATTTTATTAGCAGGTATTCTGGTTAAATTGTAAAAGTTTAGGTTGTGCTTAGCAAGGTATAGGTATGGTAATTACCAGGATCTCTTCTGCTTCCAATCTTGTGTATTGATATTGTTATACTGATCTTACACTGGCCTGGTACACACTGGCTACATATTATTTCCTGAAAAAGCTTTTCTGTTTTTGATCAGCTATTCTCCTCAATATTTTAAGAGTTCATTCACTGTTCCATCAGGTCCTGGAACTTTTCAGTTTTTTAACTTATAATAAATATGTTATGCCTTATTTTCTCCTTTTTATTTAGTTAATAAAATAGAAGTGGGAATCTGGTAGTAATTAGCTCAAATATATAGTTTATGGAATGCTTTTTATTGCAAATGGTAAAAAAAGCAAACACAACAGCAACAAAAATATTACAACCAACAAAAAATACCTACTTGGACAATGTAGTCTGAGAAAACAGTATAAAACTTTTGGTCATCAAAGGTTACAACAATTCAAATTTTATCAAATAATCCAACTAAAATTATTTTGTACAAAAATGTATGTTTAAAACTGATAATACTGTGTTGAACTCTTGAATTACTTATTCTCACTTATGTATATATTTTTTAAATCATTGTGATTGATAGCTTTACTTACTATTTGGATGAAACATTTCACAGGTAAATTGCATCTTTGGGGGACTTAAGGGATAATCAGGAGGAAAAATAAGTTTTGCAGGAAACACTCCTCCTTCAAAACAAGTCCCTTCAGGACCTCTGAAACATCATTAGTTAAGAATAAAAATATATACGATAGTACTTGTTTTCCTTACGTGATTAATGCTTCCCATTCAAAAAAGTTTTCCTCATTAATTGGGCCAGCTATTATACCTTCAGGTGGATTCAGCGTTAACTCTATAAAGAATATTTTTATTTAGAAGAATTATATACATTAGCGGAGTGCATATTTAATCAAAGATAATCTTAAACATATAATATAGCAACTTTAAATGAAAATTTGGCATTATCTTTGCTATTCTAAATAATAATAAAAACTTATTGTATTACAATTCAAATACAAACGTTTATATTCTGCCATAAGTCTTCGCAATGCAGATCCTGCCATAATTTAAATACTTATGATTTATAATTATTATTAAATTAAAGATTAAACTTATAACATGAAAAAAATTATGTTGTGTTGTTGTGACTATTTGGCAGTTTGCTGTCACTGTCATTAGTGTCAAAAGCACAAGTCATAGTATTGTGGCATGTGGCACAAGTTTTCTGTGTATGAATGTCAGCACAGTGACGTGCTTAAATCAACTGAACTTGGAATCAAAAGAGTTCGTTTTTCTTTACTTTTTAAATGAAACGAAATTAATTAATTTTGTTTAATCAATTTAATTAAACAAATATAAAAACTTAACCAAACCACAGACTAAATAATAATCAGAATGTCCACTCTAGATGCCTACTTTGAAATTTGTCAGCACGCGATCGCCATATATTAAACGGAAACAGACTCGAATTGATAAATGTGTGACAAGATACGACGCAGAACTATAATTTAAATTTTTAGAGATTAATAATTTAATACATTTGAAATAATTGAATCTATTCTTCAACTAAAAGTACGAATAAAATAGTGCATACCTATTATGTCTATAGTTGCCGTAAATAAATTAAACCGGGTTAATTTTTCTATACACACCAGATATTATGTCACTGAACAGCACACTGGTTCCGTTTAAAACATGGCTGATTCCAAGCAGCATGGGCATTCTGATTGTTTATTTTTCTGTGACTAAACTGTTTTATAAATGTAAGGCATAATTTAATTTGTTTACAATAATAAATAATAAATAACATATGTTAATATTTTAGTAAAAATCTATAATCTATATTGACCCAGTTTAAGAAACACAAGAAGCGTGGCATATTGCTTGGGGTCGATTTAGCATTTTTTATGATAGTTGTTTAACAATACTATCTGTAATACAACGCATTTAACTGTAATCTCTTTAAGATGATAAACAAAAGTATAAGTTTCTACGATGTCAGTTGGACAAGTCATAAAAACAAAATTCGACACTCAAGTGTCGGCGTCTTTGTAAAACATAGGCGGCGCAATAGAAATTAAATAATAAACTTTTATTTTTAAATTAAGGTCTAATATTTTGTTAAACAGTAATAATATTGTTAATTATTCACATTTCTTTATGAACTTGACACCAAAGATGATTAAAAGTTAATACACAATATAGTCCATTCACTAACGGTAAAATATTGTAAAAACCTCTAAATTTTAAAGAACCACTGGGATTGATATGAAATTTGTCATACACATATAGCTAACGTGTCAAAGAAAAAAAGTGATATTGTGCCGATGTGTATTTTTGCCCTGGGGGTGAGTACCGCACCTTCTTGGGGGTGAAAAGATATACATCCAAAATAAGTCCGGAAGTGGATAAACTGACTAATTCTAGGTAACTTTTGTTCTATAGAGGTTTTTACTAAATCAATACTTTTCGAGTTATTTGCGAGTGAATATATTCATTTTTCATTAAAAACACCACGTTTTTGGACGATTTCTCGCAAATAACTCAAAAGGTAAGTATTTTATGGAAAAAATGTTGGTAGCAAAAATACAGTTTATAAAAAAGTGAAAACAATGGTATATGTATGAAGTCTGTATACCCAGCAGAAGCAGAGTTATAGCTAATGAAAAATAGATTCTTACCTATTCGTCAAATTCCATATCGAATAATTCAACGTGAAATAATAAAAAAAAATGTTTTTTTACTTTTTTTTTAATTGTTTAGAGAAATCTTTATTTTTGATTTTTAAAAAAGTTTCTAGCATCAAACGTAAGCAAGTTACGCTCAAAACAAAGTTGATCCCTTTTTTTGGTAAAAAATAATCATGAATATGATCTGTAAGTTTCATCGGTTTAAAGAGCTTATTTTTGAAAGATACTTACATGAAATCGGCCAATTCGTCTTACAGTCGAATTGTCTCTTAGGTTATAGATTAATCGAGAGATCACATTTACTTCGATATACAGAACATATTTTTGACAAGTTGTGGAAGTCTTTGTAGAAATATTCAAACAATTAAACACTATCACTATCCGTGTGTCCAGAACTTGAGTCGTCGTTTGTGTTTATAACTACCGGTTCAATTGGTGGTAAAGTAGGATATTCTTTTTCTTTTACTTGAACATGCGCTACACAATTTTTCCAAATGTCAGTTTTGTTAAGTTCTTCGATCACTGTTCTTATATTTTGGACAACAACGTCACTTAATTGGGGAGATTGATTCATTTTCCGCAATTTCTTTTTTACATTGGCCCATATCATTTCAATTGGGTTGAAAACACAATGATATGGAGGGAGCCGTAAAACCGTATGCCCGTGGCGTTCAAAGAGTTTATCTATTACATATTCTTTTTGAAAATTTTTTTGCTTAATTAATTGCAACAATTGCTTTTTGGTACATTTACTAGGTGTTGCCATGCATTTGTTCTCCATAAATTCTATGATATCTTCCTTCTTGGAGCTAGTATTTGGAATTTTGGTGTAGAGTCTAGAATGGTATGACGCATTATCCATTACTATCACGGTATTTGTTTTAATATTCGGTAACAGCTGTTCCTGTTGCCAAGTTCAGCCGTCATATCCTCATGATAATCAGCTGATGACACTGTTTAATGTTTTTGGCCGATAATAACAAGGCATTAGGTACAAACCCGCTCTTAGTTCCAGCATGTAGAATTATAATTCTTTTTCCTCTCGAACAAGGAGTATTCAAGCAGCACTTTTTGCTATCATCCATCCAGCCATATTGAACTACATCATGGGTGTCAAACCACGTTTCATCAAGATACACAATGTCTCTATTGTCATCTCGATATTCTTTAATGTATTTACAACTTATTTTCTACTGTCTTAACTCAAACTTAACTAAAACACAACACTACTGTTTGCACAAAAATATTAAAAATATACGTGAACTTGCTGTCGTACACGACGATACTGAGTATATCGTTTAGTATGAGAAACCCGAGAAGGCATTTTTGACCAGATAACGATCAAGTTTGAGCGTAATAACTTCCGAAGAATTTGACTAATTACACTTCAGTAGTGCCCGATAAGATACGTAGAAAGTAATAAACCACAGCTGCAATATGGACAATACCGTTAAGCTGGATTTATAGTTTGACGTACTGTAGACGTAGACGCACTGGAGACGTAAGAAACGGACTGTAAATATTTTTTCAATTTATAAATGGACGTAGTGGAATTTTTGCGCATGAGTAAAGACAAGAATTGGCGACCCACAACATTCAATATAACCTATAAATTATACAATTATAGGAATCAGAATTCATAATAAACAAAGGGTGTGTGTTTATACTATTGTTTATTATAATATTTTTGTTGATCCTTTTTGCGTGTTAGAATGGATTGTGAAATATACGAAGGTATGCTCCTTGGCGCTGTAGGATTGCTGCTGTGCTGTGTGCAGTAGCATCGCAAAAAACTAGAAGGACAATAATAAGGCGACCAAGGTGTTATAAAACAAGACCAATAAACCGTAATAGAAAAATAGAGAATGCTTATAATTATTTTTTAAAGATGAAGACAGAAGATCCAGATCAATTTTTGGCATATTTCAATATTGGTGCAATGAACATAACCCATTCTTTCTTTTGATTGGTCAGACGTAAGAAACGCACTGTAAAAGTTGAAAGTTGACCAACTCTTCCGTTACAGTGCGTTTCGCTTACGTCCCGTCTTGCGTTTACGTTCATTTATAAATAGGAGTACACAAAAGTCTATGTTGATCTTTTTCCAGTGCGTCTGCGTCTACAGTCCGTCAAACTATAAATCCAGCTTTAGTGATCAATTACAAATAATGTTTATATTTCTGAATTATTGGGGACTGGACCCTAAAAATTCCTTAACTTTTATTGAAATTTAAAATTGATGATTAAAAGTATATACATACATAATGCAAATGAAATGTAATGTGCTTATTAATTTGAGAACTAAAAAATGAGTTTACAATTTTACTATAAAAATAAAATAATTTATATAATAAGTTTAAAATAAAATAAAATTAATTTATCACGACGACACTGTTATTGTGTTTACTTAAATGCTTGCCGCCTTTGAAACATGAGAAGCAATTTTTACCTGCTAACGGCAAAGCCAGATTTGGTTATAGTGTATGCACTTCCGAAAAATTTGACCAATTACATTTCAGTATTACCCAATAAGATACGTTCAAATTAATAAGCCACACCACTATCCATGTGGACTAATACCAGGAGTAATCAATAATTAGAATTACAAAGATTTATCTTTATTTCTATGTTCGCCGTAGAATTACTGACCGGACCCCAAAAATTGTTCTTTCCCAATTCATATCGTAACAACTTAAAAGATTTTATATTTAGTATTTAGATGTTTTTTATTAGATAATAGGTATAATTGTTTTTAAATTTAGAGTTCTGTGATTTTGACAATAATTTTTAAAACTAACAATAGTTTGACGTTTATTGAAAAGCTTTGTAAAATAAATTGCATCTATTAATAACTAAAGCTGATAGTTATACTCCATTCCACGAATATACGACTATTTTAAATTTTGTTTAAGGTATCGACACAGAATAATAAACAAACAGAATACCCACTCTCCACGGAAAATTAAGTACGCGCATCTCCTCCGCGCAGACGTTCCGCCATGTTTTAGGAGGATTTTAAAGAAATTAGTATTGTTTATGTGGTGTGCATGGAAAAATTAACCAGGTTTATTTGACTTACGGTAATCATAGACATACTATACAATTATATTAACATTGTTAAATATAATAACATAAATATAATATAATTAAACATAAATATAAACAATTACATAACCACACAAATCATATGTCTGTGTCCTCCTAAAACATGGCGCGCGTGCTGAAAAACTTCAAAGGCGGCATCTGAGAGTGGCCCTTCTGATATGTTTATTATTCTGTGGTATCGATTTAAATGGTCCAATGTGCTGAATTGTACAATAGTAAATTCTCCCAATTTTTAAAATACTGTTATGACAGATATAAACCTTATTAAATATGAAGTCATGATATAAATATAGAGTAGATAGTTTATGAAACAGTTGTAATTCAGATTTTGAAGTATATAATTATTATCATTGAGTTTAG